AGCATCTTTTTATTTCAATCTGAAGGCTCCCATTAACATTTCAAATAAGGCAGATCTAGTGGTAACAACCTCCCTAAGCTTTTATTTTCCTTGAAATATCTTAATTTCTCCCTAATTTTTAGAGAATAGTTTTGCTGGACATAGAATTCTTGAGAGGTTTTTCCCCTTTCAACGCTTGAAATACATTCTCCCACTGCCTTCTGTCCTTCAAGGTTTATGCTCAGGAATTGGCTGATAATCATATTGAGGATCCTCTGTATGTGATGACTCACTTCTTGCTGCTTTCAAGATTTTATCGTTGGCTTTGACTTTTTACAAGCTAATTATAATGCAGTTCAGTGTGGGTCAGTTAGAGTATGTACTTGAAGTTCATTAAACCTCTTAGATTTGTAGATACATGTATTTCATTAAATTTGGAAAGTTTTACCCATTATTTCTTCAAATAATCTCTCTGTCCTTTTCCTTCCTCCTCTTTGGGACTCCCATAATACATATATTGGCCATTTGATGCTATCCCCCAAATGTGTTGGTCTCTGTTCACTTTTCTTTATTTTTCCTTTCTGCTCTTCAGATTCAATCATTTCAGTTGTCCTGTATTCAAGTTCACTGATTCTTTCTTCAGCTTGCTTAAACGTATTGCCCATCATAGGCAGCAAAATGGCAGACTAGGAAGTCCAATCTCTTGTCCCTCCTGCAGAAGCATCAAAAACACCAAAATCAAAAGCAAAAACTGCACTGAACTAATACAGGAGCTCTAGGAAACAGTCAGTGGTTTCTAGCAAACCAGTGCACATCCAATCAAGATGCCTAGGAGAAAAGATTATGGGTGGACACAGACAATACCATGCATGGACCCAAGTATCTGTGTGTCTATAGTTCCCCTGCAGCTTTCATGAGCAGTGTCTGCTGCTCTTCCCGCCTGAGATCCAAGTTAGACAAAACAGGGACCGGTCCTCAGGCATACCTCATCAGGTTAGAATGTTGCAGATAACCTGGTTTGCAACCTCTGATTTGAGGGAGGGAACTGGGGACTGGGCTACCACCTCCTCCAGACCGAGGCCACCATTGTGCCAGGAAGAGAATGGAATAAGAGCTAGTAAAACCACCACAAAACGTTTCCTACTGCTTTGAAGGTGGCCTTTTCTTGAATGGCTGTTCATTTGGTTGTTGTCAACCTTTGACTATTTTCCAGAGCGCCTATATTCGTTCAGTCCAGTTTCTGGGTTTTTATTCTTGTTTTTTGACGCTTCCGTGGGAGCAATCAGAACTTGGCGCTTCCTCGTCGACCATTCTGCTGTCTTAGATGGACAGTACATTAGAAACACTCAGATGCCTAACTGCACAATACAGGGAAACGAGCAGCATTGCTGGTGTGAATGTGTTCAGGGCAGGAGCTGCTTCAGATCATGGGAATCAGGAGCGGCCTTAGGGAAAGGATGATTTTTGAACTGAAGGAGAAGAAGGAAAAGGTCAGGAAAGAAACTGAGAAAAACACAGGAGCAAAGACAAAGGCCCTGAAGTAGAAAAGAACCTGGTTTGTCCTGGGCCCTGTTGGCAGGCGGAGACCTAAAGCCCGGGAAGTCCTGGGAGCCAAGCAGATAGGGCCTGGGGCCAGGACGTGCAGGTGGGCTTGACTCCATGGTGAGTTTCAAGGACCAACGAGATCTTATGATTTTTGTTTAAAATTCCAAGGTGGTTTGGGAGGTAAGGCCTAGAGTGGAAGCAGGGAGGCCAGTGAGGGGGCTGATATAGATGCCCTGGTGAGTGATAAAGCTGGTCTTGGAGTTGGGGGCTAGCTCCTGGCAAGAGTTGCGGTGAGGCTGAGAGTTTCATGGGAACGGCCTGGCAGCATCCCTGAGGGCGTAGATGCTCTGGTGAGAGATAAAGCTGGTCTTGGAGTTGGGGGCTGGCTCCTGGCAAGAGTTGCGGTGAGGCTGAGTTTCATGGGAACGGCCTGGCAGCATCCCTGAGGGCTTTCGGAGATGGGGTAGGGAATACCTCTGGCCAAGTCAAACCAAGTCTGGTGCCGGGGCAGGGGAGGGGGCTGCTTTTGCCCTGTGGACTTCTTCTGAAGTTCTGTGCTCCGCCTCTACCAGCTGTGCCTTTGTCCAGGGAAGAGAAGACAAGCTGTGGCCCTGGGGTCCGCAGAACCAGCATCTGAAAGACCCATGTTATTTGAACAGGAACTAGACCACTCGGAAGATGGAGAAGCTGGGGCCCAAGGAAGGGGACGTGGCTGGGGCCTCACGGTGAATGGGCCTCCTTCTGCTGTGGTGTGTCAGGGACTGATTCGTTCAGTTCCTGCTGAGTTTGAGGAGTCAGCATTCTCAGTGTGTCTGCGGTTAAACACAAGGATTCCAGAGTCCTGACCCTCGGAGCCACAGTGTGATGCTGTGCAAGCTGCTACCCCTCTTGGAGCCTCAGTTTCCCCATCTGTACCACTGAGGTGATACCAGTCCCCACAACATTGGGTTATCGTGAATTATGTGAGCTAATGTGCACAAAGCACTTAGCAGGTACCCGGCTCCTAGTCCGTGTTGTAAGTGCTCAGGAACTGATCTTTGCAAGGACGTTGCTCATCGCTGTGATAACTGCAATATTAGCAGGGGAGCCCCCCGACAATCAGGTTCCCAGCAGAACCACAGAGTCCAGCTTGGTCCGGCTTGGGAGAATGTCAAAGGGAGGGATGCTTCTTTCTTGTTCCCTCTGCCTTAGCCACAGAGCTCACCTGCTCTCAGGCCCTGCAATCCACCTCATGTTGCAAACGAAACGTCACGGGTCACAGAGAAGAAAAGAGAACCTGCAGGAGAAAGGACCAGGAATGATTACATCCAGGCCTCGTAGGCAGGTGGCATTTGCGCTGGACCTTGTGGTTAGGTTGGAGCCATGCATGCTAAATTGCACAGGTGCATTCTGGGGGAAGGGAGGAGCCTTGGCCAAGGTTTGGGGGTAGAAAAACGTTTCCTATTCCTTCTGGGTAGACAGAAAAGGAGTGGTTTATTTTGGCCACAGTGGTGTTTTTGATGGAGGGTGAGTGGTTGGCTGTGGCTAGCTCATGGGTGCTGGGGTAGGGGAATTCGGTCTTTACCCTGCAAGTGATGAGGAGCTGTGACTGCTCCTGAGGAAGGGAAGACGTACTTAGAGCTGGGCTTGGGAAGACCACTCTCTCTCAGCCCTACCCAGGCCAGAGCCTCCAACCCCCCGCCCAGGGCCACTGCCGTGGTCTAGGCCAGGGATGCTGAGGCCTAACCTTGGGCAATGAGAGTGTGGATGGAAGGAGGTTCCAGATAAGGTAGTAGAATCAACAAGGCATGATAAGTAACTAGTCGTGAGCGGGGGAGGGAGGGTCCAAGGCCAACTCCCAGATTGACAGCTTGGGCAACCAGACAGCTGAGATGAAGGCCAAGGATGGACGAGGTTCGGGGAAGAAGATGGTGGCAGCTCCGGATACGCCTTGCTTGAGGAGCCCGGGAGGGGCCCCCGGCACAGCAGTGGACTCTGTAGGACTTAGAGGCCTCAGGTGGGGACGGGTACTTGGCAGTGTTTCTGCCCTGGCTGGTTTGTTGAGGGACACAGGCAGAGCAGAGGAGGCTCCGGCAGGGGCGCTGGCTGCTGCTGCCCCCTCAGTCTGAGTGCACCCCGTCTGGCCCTCCCCTCGGCTGCCATTCCCCCTTCTCATCTTACACTTCCTTCTGGCCCTCACTTAACTGCGTCATTTTAGGGAACTTGGAAACCAGGCCTTGTGTCTTTAACTTACAAAATTATACACTCCAATGAGCCGGAAAGGGGCTTTCGGAATAATTCTATTGAAAATATGTGGGTTTTTGCCTTGAAATGATCTTCCTGAAATTATCCCCTTTCTCTCTTTATAAATATTAAAAAGAAGAAATCAGAGCTTAGTGCTTTAAATCCCTATTCAGGGGCTTTCTTGTCTGCCTCCCAGGAAAGTAACCAGTCATCTCTGAGGAAGAAAAGGAGACTGGCTGGGTTTCCTTTAACACGCCACCCATCCAACCGCCCCCCCCCCCTTTTGGAGCCCCCCTGGCCAATCCCTCCTTGTCCCCGTACAGCCAAGCTGGGACTTGCTGAAAGATTACATGTCCGTGTGGGGGTGTAAGGGAGAAGGGTGGGGAGAGGGAAGGTGAGGAAGGCTGCAGAGAGATGGAGGCAGCGAGACAGAAAAGTAGGGAGAGGGAGAGGGAGAGAGAGAGAGAGAGAGAGAGAGAGAGAGCTGCAGAGAGAAAGCAGGGAGGATTAGGAGAGAGACAGTGAGAGTGAGAGAGAGAAATAGGTCTGGGGAGAAAGACAGAGACATAACGACGCAGAGATAGATGGGCTGGGGCAAGCGTGCAGACACAGAGCCCGGAGATTAAAGGAGACAGAGAATATGGAGCGGGTCGGGAGCACACAGACACAGAGACAACTGGAAGGCAGAGGCATAGAGAAAGTGGGAGGGCTAGAGGAGGCGACAGGGAGCCGGAGGCAGAAAATGATGCAGAGAGAGGCCCACGGGGTGGAGCCGACACAGATTGACAGGTGGGGTCGAAACGAGCCATGGGGAGAGGCACAGCGGACAGTGACACACGGCAGGGGAGTGGGGAGGTGACAGGGAGATGGAATGGGCCCCTGCCGCCCTGGGGCTGGAGGCCAGCTGGTGCTGGGGATGAAAACGTGACTCATGTGCGGATGGCATCTGGTGGCGGGAACTTCCTCATTCCTGGCTCCTCGGGCACCTGCCTCTGTCCATGATACATGAGGCAGGGGCGGGGGCAGAGGGGAGAGGAGGACAGGGGCTAGCCACTAGGCTTAGAAGACGTGAGGACCCATGTTCAACCTCAGCTCCGCCCGTCGCTGCTGTGTTACTCTGGGCTCCTTGGCAGTCTTTGGAGCCTCGGGTTTTCCCATCTGGAAAATGGGGATAATGATGCCTATGTTATAGGGTTGTGCCCCCTGCAGGAGGCACCACCTGTGAGGGGCGTGGCACAGCGCCTGGGGAGAGTATGCACTCCACCTCACACGAATCGAATCGGTTGATGTCGTCCGCCCTCAACTCCAGTCCTGTGATCTTAGAACTGACCCGGGCTGACCCTGAAGACCTGGAGGTAAAAACTCTACCCACAGGCATCGCAGCAGGAGACATCTACAGGAGGAAGGATTAGGGGAACAGGAAGGTTTTGTGTCTGGGAGATTCCTGAGAAGGTTTTCCCAGGCAGCAGTGGTGGGTGTAAGAGGTG